CAGGGGCTCTGAGCTCTCCCTGGAGCCTTCTCTCCCCCAGGTGAGCACCCCCAGCTCTACCGGGCTGGCTCCAGAGCATAGGGTCTCCAGCCCTTGGAGCAGCTGTGGCCTTCTGGATTCACTCTAGCACCTGCAGGTCCTCCTGATGTTGGAGGCCCCAGAGCACCAACATCAACATTCCCAGGCTGAGTCTTCCCACTGCAATTCCAGCCCACCCTGGTGTTTGTAGCAGTGGTGGTTTGTCTTTCCCTGAACTTGGTGGGGAGGCTCGGGGTTGACTCAGTTTCCTTCTGTCCTTGTGGATTTACAGCGTGGCTGAGGCTGGGAGTGGTCTGGATGGGATCTTGGAAATGATCTGTTACAGCCCCTGCCCAGCACTCAGAGTTTTGGGTGTCCAGGGCTGGGATCAGTGGGATCTTAAACATTTGGAAGTGCTGCTTTTTAGTGCTTTGCAAGTAGGTCCATGCTTAGAACTTAYGTTCTTGTTCCTGGGGTTCGGAACATCTGGAGTCTCGGAGCAGCCTGGGACAGTGGGTGGTGTCCCTGTCCATGGCAGAGGGTRGGGCTGGGGGACTGTAAGGTCCCTTCCAACACAAACCAGTCTGGGATTCCATGACTTTGTCTTTTCCCCAGAAGGTACTGACTGGAAATGTTCTTTAAGGTCTCTTTGGGCTGGGTGAGCACAGCCCAGCTCCTCCAGCCCCATCCTGCATCCTCTCCCCGCTCGTTTTTTRGGATGTCCTCCAGCCCAGCTCCGGCCCCTCCACTGAGCCCTTGGCGTTTGTTTTGGCCATCGTGTGCCCAAGGGAAGCTGAGGGATCACTTTTCCTGTGTGTGCTCCCTAAGCTAAATATACCGAGCAGCAGCTGATCCCCGCTGCTGGCAGGAGCTGGAGCCGGGCCGGCGACATTGGTGACATTGCCACGTTCCCGCTGGGTCATGGCGTCACCAGCCRGGGCACGTCATCACCTCGGCCAGGGATTGGCACAGCTGGAGCCCCAAGGCGCAGCCCCTGCTGCAGCTGCCCTGCTCAAGCCTGTACTTTTCCCCAGTTTCCCTGATTTCCGTGTYCTCTGGCAGGCAGGAGGAGCCGTGGCAGCTTTTGGGAGCAGAGCAGGCAGAGCCCGGGCCGGAGCTGCCGGGGGAGCCTCGGTGGCCTTGGCAGCACCTACAGTGGATTTGCAGGAAGCCTGGAATTTCAAGCTGTCCTGGATCTTTGTCATGCCCTGTCTGGTGTTAAAGCACCATCTCCAGATCTAGAGATGACTTTTCTATGGATATATCCTGCTGCACATGGAGGAGCCCAGGGATAAAGCTGCCTGCACGGGGGTCGCGTCCTGAGGGGTGGGGGAGGGCAGTTATCCTGTACCTTGGTTCCATCTCTTGGRCATTGGGATGTGAGTGCTTCTCCTGCTGCTGGATTTCACGGGCTGGGAGGGACCTTAAATACGCCCAGTGCCACCCCTGCCATGGCAGGGACACCTCCCACTGTCCCRGGCTGCTCCCAGCCCCAATGTCCAGCCTGGCCTTGGGCACTCAAAGGGATCCAGGGGCAGCCACAGCTTCTCTGGGCACCCAATGACCTATGATATCTATATTTATCTGTATTTTTCAGTGGAACTGCCTCCCCTCCTGCCCATGGCATTTTTTTCCAGCTTGGATTTGAAGGTGCAAATCAATCCACTAACGATTTTTGGATTCTTGCTCCATTGACATAAAGCTGGAGTGCCATTGTGCCATTTAGGTGAATTTTTGGTGATAATTCGAATAAAAATCCCAAAATTCAAAGAAGAATCCCAAACCGTGAGGTTCTAATTAATTATTCTTTCTCTGTATTAAAATGAATTTAACATATTTACTTACTGAATATTTCCTGGCTGGTCTTCCCAGGAACAGAAATACTCTGGGGAGCAGCAGGGAATATACTTACATCTATATAAAAGATAGAAATGTGTATCTTATATATCTAATATATCCTTTATTTTTTTTATTTATTCAGATTTATTAGGACTTTTCCATCAAAATTATCAAAATTATAAAAAAAAMCCTAATGCTTCTCATCTGCCTAAAAGATGAACCAAAGCCTAATCCTGCTGTTAACTCCTCTCCTAGTTCTTGAGGGAAGACTTGAATTACCATGACCCAGCAGTCAAGCACAGCACCTTCCATGGAGAAGACAAACTCATCAGTGTGGAAGATCTCTGGAAGGCCTGGAAAACATCTGAAGGTAAAAGAAGGGCAAAAAGCCAAGAAACAYTTTGCCAACTGTGCCAGAGTCTGGATTTCAGATGCCCTGGGCAGAGTGTACAGCTCTCAGGAGAAATCTGCAACTTTTCCTGCTTTATGCCAGTCCTTGTACTCTTCMAGCTTCCTTCTTTTGGGATGGATTTCCAGGATTTCCTCGGGATTGGTACTTGCAGACTGTAAATGCTGCACCTGAGCATGGCCACTGAAGTATCAATTATTGTTTTGTTCTTCTGCTCTAGAAATGTGTGTTAAATAGAGCCAAATGCTGTCCAGTTCCAGGTTCTCCTTCAAACACCCGCTTTCAGATGGAATTTTAATGGAGTAATTACATCCTAAATATTCAGTAGAGCTGCGTGGGAGTTTCCCTGCAGATTGTGTTTTCCTTAGGAGAAATTTTCTGAAGCTGAAAAGCTCCTTCACTCAGTGAAAAGAAGTGAGGATAAAATCCAGAAAGTGTCATAAGTGCAGGCCATGTAGAAATAACTTTRAGCTGTTCCAAAATGCTGTTACTCCTCCCAGCACCCATGGAGGTGGTGGGAGTTCAGCCTGTGGTGAGAAACTTCCCAAAATTTGGCAATCTTGGAACCAACTTTTAAGGTTGGCAGGTGCTTCCCCAGTGCTTTCACACAAAATTTCCACAGAAATTATTAATCCATTTTTTTTCAATGCTCATCATCTCTAAAAGAGGAGTTCTATCAATGTCCATTCCTTGAAATACTGGATTTTAGTCTTCTAATCAGTTAATCAGTCATAGAAATTTCAATTTCTCATTTGTGTCCTGTTTATATTTGTTTTTCCTGTGTTAGCCCTGAAGTTACTCAGGGTGGGATGTGCTCTGTGTTTTCAAAGCCCTGTGGACCCAGATGTAAGGGGTGGGACATTCCCAGGAGGAGTAAATGGACACTGAGGTGCAGCATGTGAAAGGTGGACTGAAAACACAAAAGTGGGGCTGTGCATGAGAGGAGAAGAATCCAGKGAGAGCTCAGAGCCCCTGCCAGAGCCTAAAGGGGCTCCAGGAGAGCTGGAGAGGGGGACAAGGGCTGGAGGGACAGGAGCCAGGGAATGGCTTCCCAGTGCCAGAGGGCAGGGCCAGATGGGATATTGGGCAGGAATTGTTCCCTGGGAGGGTGGGCAGGCCCTGGCACAGGGTGCCCAGAGAAGCTGTGGCTGCCCCTGGATCCCTTTGAGTGCC